GATAGAGGCATGGGAATTGACAGAGGTATGGGAATGGATAGAGGTATGGGAATGGACAGAGGTATGGGAATGGACAGAGGTATGGCAATGGACAGAGGTATGGGAATGGACAGAGGTATGGGAATGGACAGAGGTATGGGATTGGATGGAGGTATGGGAATAGACATGGGTATGGGAATAGACATGGGTATGGGAATGAATAGAGGTATGGGAATGGACAGAGGTATGGGAATAGACATGGGTATGGTAATGAATAGAGGTATGGAAATGGATAGAGGTATGGGAATGGATACAGCTATGGTTATGGGAATGGGAATGGATCATGGGATGGGAAGGGAAAGAAGAAGAATGATCCAAGATCTACCGATGAAAGCTGGGGATAATTGTATCTGTGTGCTAGGAGAACAGGGACAGAATTGAATGAATTTGAGTTAGGTCGCTGAACAACCTACTGCCGGTTCAAATCCCGAATTAATCAACGATTCAAAGTTAAAGATTTGAGAGGATTTTAATCGGCGATTCAGAATAAATCAGGGATTCAGGATTTTGAAGCTGGGATTCAGGATTTGAATTGGTCATTTGGAGTTGAATTGGTGATTTAGGATTTGAATTGGTGATTTTGGATTTGAATTGGTGATTTGGATTTGAACTCGCTGTATGTAATTCAGCGATCTCTCCAATACATTAATTGTGGTCCCAGGTTTATGAGCGGGATGCAGTGGAACAGTTCGAGGACTGTCTCGGGAACAAGGGAAGAATGTATCTTGTTTAATTGATCTATTTTGGGACCTTTTTTAAAGGCAATTTACCCAAAGGATAATTTTCCAAAGAGCAATTTCCCTAAAGGTATTTACCCAAAGGACAATTTTATTTTCTAAATGGTATTTACTCAAATGACAATATAAAAATAGGATATTTACCCAAACGACAATTTTCCTAAGGATATTTACACAAAGGACAAATTTCCAAAGGACAAAATGACAATTTTAAAGATATTTATCCAAAGGACAATTTTTTAAAGGATATTTGTCCAAAAGACAATTTTCCAAAGAGTATTTACTCAAATGACAATTTTCTGATGGACATTTACCCAAAGGACGATTTTCCATAGAGTATTTACCCAAAGGACAATTTTCTAAAGAAAAATAACCCAAAGGATAGTTTTCCTAAGAGTATACCGAAAGGACAATTTGCTGAAGGATATTTACCCAAAGAACAATTTTCCAAAGAATATTTACCCGAAGGACAATTTTACAACGAGTATTTACCCAAAGGACAATTTTCTAAAGAATATTTACCCAAAGGAAAATTTTCTAGAGGGTACATTCACAAATACCAATTTTCAAAAAAATATTTACTAAAAGGACAATGTTCCGACGGATATTTACCCAAATGACAATTTACTTAGGGTTTTAACCCAAAGGACAATTTTCCAAAGGATATTTACCATGAAAGTGGTTTAAAAGCATTTAGCCAAGTGACAATTTTTAAAAAGAATTTACGCAAATAACAATTTTCCGTAGGTATTTAGTATGGGGGGGGGCCTGAAACATTATACATTTCTTTAATTAGGCGAGACGAATTCTGGGCGCTGTGGACACTCAAGCCAAATGCCTTCGCACACTTTATGTCTTGGTAGGGAAAATAAAATTATTTTGTTAATTAAATCTATATTATAAAACAAGACACTCATTTCATTTTTTGTTTCCAAATTTTTTGTTTTCAAATTTTTTTCAATTTTTTTTTCCACGGGCAACGCCGGGCCCTTTAGCTAGTAATTAATAAATGATGCACAGGGGTGTATATTTTGTTGATAAAATCCCCCTTTTCACACATTAGAAATGGTTTATTTTCCTTCTATTTTACGCAAAAATACAAAACCTGGGGGTTTGTCACACAAAAAAATTCAACAAATCATTACTGTTCCAAATCTGTTCCTCTATTATTACTGTTCCAAATCTGTTCCTCTAATATTACTGTTCCAAACCTATTCCTCTATTATTAATGTTCCAAACCTGTTCCTCTATTATTACTGTTCCAAATCTGTTCCTCTATTATTACTGTTCCAAATATGTTCTTCTATTATTACTGTTCCAAATCTGTTCCTCTATTATTACTGTTCCAAATCTGTTCCTCTATTATTACAGTTCCAAATCTGTTCCTCTATTATTAATGTTCCAAATCTGTTCCTCTAATATTACGGTTCCAAATCTGTTCCTCTATTATTACTGTTCCAAACCTGTTCCTCTATTATTACTGTTCCGAACCTGTTCCTCTATTATTACTGTTCCAAACCTGTTCCTCTATTTCTAGAAAATTACCTCTGGAACCAGCGAAGCAGAGGTTCGTGAATATTTTGAGAAGTTTGGGATAATGGAGACCATTGATTTAATCAAGAATAGAAATCAGGAACATGATCTTCATCATTTTAATAGTTTAATTTGTTCATAGGGACTGTAAGCGTAAGATCAAGTGAGCCTTCATTGAAATTGTCGAATTATATATTTACAACAGTACCCTTGAATGCTTTGTCTTATCAAGTATGAACTGGACATTCATGTTTTTCTTTGTCAAAACTGCTTGTATTTATTTTGGTTTCTCTGCTGAAGCGACTATTTGTTGCTTTAGAAACAATGGAAAAATTATCAGAATTAAACACTTTTCAAGTAAAAAAAAAACTAGAATACCTTCCACAATATTGAATAGATAAACGTTCTAATTAAACCATTGTGAATCGAACAATCACTGTTTAAATTGTGGGTCCTTTAACATTGCAACGACTGTTCTTTTAAAGGGATTGGCCCCCTCCCGGCTTAGATAATCAACATGAACCTTGATGAGGCCTTTTTTAATTTAAAAAATTTCGCGATAAAAAGCCCAAAAAAGTTGAGCATATATGGAGGAAAAATATTTTTTTTGAAGACGTTTCCCTTGACGGACAATCTTCATTTAAATAAATGCTCGGTCAGCCTCAGATTTAGATAGGTTATCAATAACTTCAAAGGAATTTTGAAATCATTAATTATAAATTGAATATTTGTGGTTTGCAGAATTCCTATGCTTGTATGATATTTCAAGACGCAGAGACAGTTGATGCAATACAGGTTAATTTTTTCTTAAATTAGTCCTTAGTCGTAGTCTTACTTAGACCCTTAGTCTTTATTCTTTAGTCGTAGTCTCACTTAGGTCCATAGTCTTTATTCCTTAGTCATAGTCTTACTTAGGTCCTTATTCTTTATTTCTTAGTCGTAGTCTTACTTAGGTCCTTAGTCTTTAGTCTTTAATTGTAGTCTCACTTAGGTCCTTAGNCCTTAGTCGTAGTCTTACTTTGGTCCTTAGTCTTTATTCCTTAGTCGTAGTCTTACTTAGGCCCTTAGTCTTTATTCCTTAGTCGTAGTCTTACTTAGGTCCTTAGTATTTATTCTTTAGTCTTAGTCTTACTTTGGTCCTTAGTCTTTATTCCTTAGTCGTAGTTATACTTAGGCCCTTAGTCTTAATTCTTTAGTTGTAGTCTTACTTAGGCCCTTAGTCTTAATTCTTTAGTCGTAGTCTTACTTAGGTCCTTAGTATTTATTCTTTAGTCGTAGTCTTACTTAGGTCCTTAGTCTTTATTCTTTAATTGTAGTCTCACTTAGGTCCTTAGTCTCTGTCTTACTTAGCTTAATACATTTAAATACAAAGTCTGACCAAGTTTTAGAAAGTGGCAACGAGCTTCGAGTTGGAAAAAATCCTTTTTTCTTTTTACTTTTAAGATTTTTAGATAACTTCTGTTTAGCTTCTGGAGAAAAAGTTATTTTCCAAAATATACACCACTGGGCCTGCAGTTTTTCCAGAAATATATATTTTAGGCAAAAAGACCTCATAAAGTTGGTAAAGGTGATGTTCTGACGAAGCGTCAAGTTCTGCAGAAGGATAAAAGATTTGGTTTTGTAAACACAGACACCATCTCTATAGGTGAGGATTGTTAAATCATATTTTACATATTTTCTTCAATAATAGCTTCCCCCTGTGAGGGCCCCAGTTGTTCTTGGGTTTTATCACTGAAGGAAAATAGATGAACATGGGTTTAAAGTATCAAAAAGTATGAAAACTGAAAACTGAAAACCCTGATTTTTTATGTCCATTTCTTCAGTTTTTCAAGCGCAATGAAAATAATTTATCTTGATATTTGGGTAAGAAATATTAATAATCGTTTTACCCCCCTGCCAATTGGTGTTGAATTTTTNCATCAGAATAATCCCCTGTATCATTGGTTAAAGAGAATGTCAGCTTGATCCTGTATTAATTATTACGCGAATCTAAGAAACGATAAAATTAATTTTTTTTATTGATTTGTTCATATTTTATATCATATTTTAAAGGGAGTGTTTGCGAAAAGAATAAAAAAAAGATTTTTCATTTAAAGAGAAATTCTTTTTATTTGATATTTTATCTAGGTCCCCCAGTTAGTTTTTCATACAAGACAATGACTGCAGGTAAATTATTGAAATTCTTTTTTTTCATTAAAAATTTAAAATTCTACTCGCGAAAAGTCAGAAAATAAATTAGTTGAATTAAATTACTTGACAATTGACACAAAAAAATTGCAAAAATTAATTTTTAGTAATTCTCAATGATGTTTTCTGCAGTGAGACCCATAAAACTCTGGCATATGAAGACGACTGCTAGCTTCAAGTTATGATTTCTAAAAGTCCAAAAAACATGCAACACTGTAGTTAATGTTAATTAGGTTTAACAAGCACGAATACTGAGCCTGATCTTGTTGAGTTCTTTTCTCAGTACGGCGAGGTTCTCAAGGTTCAGCTGGACTCTAGGTAGGAGGTTCATTACCGTCCCTTTCTCCCTCATCCACTCCAGCAGCACATTCCCCCACCACTCTTAAAAACGCTCCTACTCCACCCCCATCCTCTACCACATTTACACACGATCCTAATCCACCCCCATCCTCCACCACATTTACAAACGATCCTACTCCACCCCCATTCTCTACCACATTTTCAAACGATCCTACTCCACCCCCATCCTCCACCACATTTAAAAACGCCCCAACTCCGCCCTCTCCCCAACTACTCCTGGAAACATCCCTTCCCCCCTCCTTCCATCACTATTCTTGAAATCGCCCCTTCTCCACCCCCTCCCCCACCACTCTTGCAAAAGCCCCTGCTTCACCCCCTCCCCTCCACTCTTGAAAACACCCCTTCTCTACCCACCTCCTCCTCCTTTCTTAAATAGTCTCTTTTTTCCGCACCCCCCCCTTCCCGAACCGACTTTTTCCCGAAAACCTCCCTCACCCCCATTCCCTGGACTCTCAATTTACTTTCCCGTAAAATCAATTTTTCTCCTTCCGCGATAAAATAAAAACGCTATAAAAAATTCTACAAAAAATGGACGGAGGGAGGAGTAAAAAACGATTATTTTCATTCAATACATTTTATTTCTACAACTTCTGATTTATCTGAATGAGCCTAAGTTTACAAACTTGAAATTGCATTCAGTATTTCGAGATTTGAACCGGCGCTCAATGTGAACCGGTTTTTTCCGGATCATCGACGCGACTTTAATTCTTTGAATTCGGCCATTGGTGCAAAGATATAAGTTTGAAAACATTTTATATGAAGAAACAAATGGCCATTCATCTATATTGATAAATTTGCAATTTTGGAAAAATATTTTTTAGGAATTTTGGTTCAGCCTCAATTATGTTTAAGGACACCGACATTGTTGATAAGGTAAAAAATATGTTTTTTTTTTTTAAAGGGACTATTCACAAAATATTTGGACAGCAAGGAAAAGGCTAAAATTTGTCCCATTGTAATTAGATAGATAATCTACGGTTTCCTTCAATGGTTTACCAAATTTAAACTTTAAGGTATTTTAAATCATGTTTATCAAAAAATACTATTGTTTGAATGATTTTAATCTAGTTCCAAACAGCTACAGCTGTTAATTTCTTTGCTTAAGCCTGTAAAGGGACTGCAGACCCTCTTAAAGGAATTGTCACTTGAAACTTGAAGAGTTTTGGGTCGCAAGTTTCATCCTTTGTGGATATATATCACAGGGTGTTCCAAAAAAACCTTTGCAGTAGTTTGTATGAGGTTCAAGAATCAATAATGGTTGTAACAAAAAAAGTATGAGGCCTAGAATAAAAGAAAATATACCGTACGTTAGAGACTTTAAAAAAAATAGAGCTTTACAATGACACCATGTTTTCCTTATTTCTGAATTCCCTTACTGCACAGATTTTTGGGACACCCTGTATTTTCGTTTTCTAAAGATTGCTCTGCTCCGTGGGTTTACTATCGAGGGAAGATCAGTAGAAGCAGAGAAGGTATTTTCAGACAAGGATACCTTAGAGGAGGAGTTCAATCCAGGTATTCATCCATATATTCATTCATTGATTCAATTATTCATCCTTCCTTCCATTCATTGATTCATCCATCCTTTCTTCCTTCCTTTCATTCATTCATTTATTTATTCATTCATTCATTCATTCATCACTTTTTTCATCCCTTCATACATTTATTCATTTATTCATTTATTCATTTATTCATTTGTGTTCATTTGTTCATTTGTTCATTTGTTCATTTGTTCATTTGTTCATTTGTTCATTTGTTCATTTGTTTATTTGCTTATTTGTTCATTTGTTCATTTGTTCATTTGTTCATTTGTTCATTTGTTCATTTGTTCATTTGTTCATTTGTTCATTTGTTCATTTGTTTATTTGCTTATTTGTTCATTTGTTCTTTCTTCATTTGTTTATTTGTTTATTTGTTCATTTTGTTCATTTGGCCATTAATCAGCTGACACTAAAAATGTGTATATTTATATAATTAGACTTGAATATAACTGGTGACCCTGAAGCTCAGGTCATGCGGAAAATGTTTGTTTACAATTTACCCAAGGTAAGAAAACCGGTTTCTGTCAATCAATCAATTAATCAACAAATAAAAAAATCTGCAATTTATTAATAGACCATGGACCCCCAGTCCCTCCTTTTTTGGATGGGGGGGGGGGGGTCTTTAAAGATCATTTTTTAAAATCCTTTTAATGACGAGTATAACTGAATTTAGATATTTGTATTTTTGATATTATTTTTTAATAATTGATTTTTAGAATACTACCACAGATGATCTCAGAGATTTATTCGAAAAATACGGAGAAATATTGGTAAATTTTTACTTTTATTTCCCCCCCCCCCACTCTCCGTCAAGATTTTAAGATTTTTAGATTTAAGGTTTCTGAGAAAATGAATTGTATGTTTGTTTTTGTAGCTTTGTTACCTCCTATGTATATTATATTTATTTATTTTTCTAAAAAAATATTTAATTTTCTAAAAACTCTGAAGTTTCAGCAATAAAAGATCCTGCTAAACAATTGATTAACTAAAAGAGAAAGCGGGTTTATTTCCTAGAGATGATTATGTAATACCACAGTAAAAACATTTAACACTGAAAACTACTCACTACTGGTCTCGGGATTTACAAAATGTGGTTTACCATGTTTCCCCTTCAAAATTGACGGAGATATCAGGAAGTTTGTCCAGATTCCAGTTTATTAAAAATCAACAAAACTGTTCAAATGTTCAATATCTTCGTCAATTTTAAAGATACCAAGAAGGTAGACCACATTTTGGAAGGCTCATAAGACGTTCAATCTTTTTTCAATGTACTTTATGTCATTTATCAATTATCGGAAATCAAAGACGATATTAAAGTCGTCTCTTAATTCCTATGTTTATTGGGACACCCTGTAGACGGAAGATTTTAAAATTTATTATTTTCGCGAACACTCCCTTTAAGAGGTGTATATTCAGGAGTGTGATATAATAAGAATGTTTGCTGTAATATTATTCAAGAATTCAGAGAGTCTGGATCAAGTTATGGAAGACAGGTGATCCCCCCCCCCACCCCCTTTACATACCCCCCCC